ATTTTGTTGAGAAATCACTTTGAAAAACACCCCCCTTAGCAGCATTTCTAGCCACAGCCATCTCAAATAACAGCAGGTAATTCATGTAGAATTTACGTTCTGCACTCCACCTGCCTATAGCTCAGGAATGCAGGCAGCAGGGTATGCTTAGCCGAGAAAGGCCTAGGCACAAAACCAAGAAGCAACTAAAGAAATGTAAAATAAAAACAAAACAAAAATATACCTTTCCTTCCTTGCTAGCATTATAAGGATTAAAAATAGCTTATATTGATTGAGAGTTTAGATCCACTTTAAAGACTTTCTGTGTCCCTCAATGGACAAGATAGAAATGACCTAATAATTAGAAGTGGTGTTCTATAAATCCAAGTCAGATTATGCCTTTATTTTAACCTGTCCAAAGATGGCATCCTGACTGACCTGCTCTCCATTACCTTATCCTGACACTTTATTACATCAACTCTAATTCCAGGACATAATAGTCTGCAGTGGAGACAATGAGATATTGCAGACTTTGACCTTAAAGTAATTAACAAGTTTACTTTTCCCTTGTGAATCATTTGATATGGTTCGCTGCACGAGCAAGAAATCATGATTGACTGCAAGCATGCAGAGAACCATATCACCAAAGGTAACAGCCACTAAGGCTTATAGCCATAAAGCTTGGTTTTCTAATTACACCCCTGCCACTTAAATGTCAGAGGTAGGTGTCTTAAATATAAAGATAAAAATAAAGAACCTATTTTAAACTAGGATAAATATATGTCTAGTGCCTTCCATTTAAAAAAAAAAAAAAAACCACAACACATCATCATCCATCATTTGCCACTCTCAAGGAAGGGATTAGTGAAGATGGAAGAGACCAAAAATGTAACACTGACACCAGAAAAAAATCAAAAGTATCCACACATAACTGTTTTTTTCCAAAAGATTTTCTACAGACAGACAGACTTTGCTCCAAGTTGCGAGCTGTGGATTAGCTTCATAATTTCCACGCTATAAAGACCACAGAGACAGCCACCATCCCAAGAGATGTTCAAAGGAAAGTAATGTACCCAAACACGTTTTAGGCCCCCTTCATACCGGTCCACACAAATGCTTTGCGTTAAGGAACTCAAGTCATTAGAATGGGCTGCCAATACACTAGAACTAAAACAAACGAAGGTACGAACACTTTTTTTTATTTACTAACACATTACTGTTTGTCAGCCAGCTGCAGTGAAGGTGCATTGCCTTAGAACTTTGGGGTTCTATCGAAAATGAGTGGTACCGCAACAAGCTAATGGGTGTAATAATGCGAAGTCAGCCTTAAGAGTGCCACATTTTAACTCATTTGTAACCACTTGCCTGCCAGGCACTTATACCCCCCTTCCTTACCAGGCCAATTTTCAATGACAATTGCGCAGTCATGCAACATTATACCCATATTATTATACAGGATTTATATAGCGCCAACAGTTTGCTCAGCGCTTTACAATATAACGGGAGACAATACAGTTCAATACAAGAGGGACAGGAGGGCCCTGCTCCTCGGAGCTTACAATCTAGGAGAAATGTTTATAATTTTTTTCTCACAAATAGAGCTTTCTTTTGGTGGTATTTACTTGCCGCTGGGTGTTTTACTTTTTGCGCTATAAACAAAAAAAGAGCAAAAAAAATTTGGAAAAAAAAAGTTTTTGTTTCTATTATAAAATTTTGCAAACAAGTAATTTTTCTCCTTCACTGATGTGCGTTGATGAGGCAGCACTGATGATGGATGCTCACAGTGGCCACTGACTGGCGCAACTGCTGGGCACTGTCTGGCGGCACTGCTGGGCACAGGTGGGTGTCACTGCTGGGCACCGATCATCAGCGTCCTGATGATCGGTGCCAATCCCTGCTCTGACAACTGCCGGTTTTCGGCAGTATGTTCCTCACACTCTGAAAACGTGAGGAAAGTGCAGCCGAGAACCGACAATTGCATTTCCCGGAGATCAGCGTGTCATTGGACATGGCTGATAACGTGGTAAAAGGCCGCTGTGATTGGCCTTTTACCACATCATGTGATCAGCTGTGTCTGTAGGACACAGCGAACATGGAGATCGCCGGGGCGCGCAGGAGAGCATGTTCTGGGAGGACGTCATATGACGCGCAACCAGAACTGGCCGGCCGCACTGCACTATCTGCGGTCGGCAACTAGTTAAACACACCTTTTGCATGAGGCGTGGTGCATTTTTAAAAAGAAACTGGAAGTGGGTAGACAATTGGATTTTGTTTCTTTAGAAAAAAAAATGTACATATGCAGAAAATATGTTTTACATGGTTGTGCACATTTTCCAGAAATACAAGCTTGGAGTGTTGCTAGAAACATTTAAACAAAACTGCACTACAAAAGGATGGTTTCATAACTCATTATGTGTTTTAACTGTGCATTGAAATGCTTGAAAAAAGGAAGTATAAATGTCACACTTCAGCTGTCTAAAAGCGAAAAAAAAAAAAAAAAAAAACACTAAAAATAAGAAATAGTGTCGTGCTCCACTACCAATTGAAAAAATGTGTAAATAAATAACAATCCAGCTTCACAAATGTGCATAACGATATCTCTGCAATTATATTATTGGCTGCAAACATGTCCTTATAAAATCCTTGTTTTTGACACTTCTTCCAGTGCTACGATACAAAATTATAAGCTGAGCAGTTCAACAATCATTAGAAAAATTTGTACACCTTGATTGATTGTGCTCTCACTTGGTGTTTATGACCAAACCGTTAAGTGAGGTCATAAAAGACTTGTGTCCCTTTAATGGGGCTGAATGGTAAATGGATGGAATGATTCCTCTATCCTTGGGATGGATGGATGGATGAATGAACGGAGTGTTCCCTCTTTCCAGCAGGGGGTCTCCTTGCTTCCTTATAGATTTTCCTGGAGCCGAATAGGAAACAAGGAGACTCCCTGTTGTAAAGAGGGAACACTCCGTTCATCCATCCACCTATCCATCCATTCCAGGGATAGAGGAATCATCCCATCCATTTACCATTCAGCCCCATTAAAGGGACGCAAGTCTTTATGACCTCACTTAAGAGTTTGGTCATATACACCAGGTGAGAGCACAATCGATCAAGGTGTACAAATTTTTTTCTTATGATTGGTGAACTGCATAGCTTATAATTTTGTATCATAGCACTGGAAGAAGTGTCAAAAACAAGGATTTTATAAGGACGTTTGCAGCAATAATATAATTGCAGAGATATCGTTATGCATATTTGTGAAGCTGGATTGTTATTTATTTATTTACACATTTTTTCAATTGGTAGTGGAGCGCGACACTTTCTTATTTTTATTTTTCTGTGACACAATGGTATGAGTATGTGTAGAGTGTAAGCGAACCACAAATTTTTCATTTACACCATTTTTTGATAATTTTATTACACAGCATTGGTATTATTTTAAATAGTGTAATATACACCATAGTAGCTCACAAGACCCCACATTTAAAAAAAAAATAACACCATTATACATTGTATCTAATGACCATGACAGGGAAAAAAATAAAGGAAATAAATGTGCCCTGAAATAGTACAGCTCTTGTAGGAACCTTTTAGGCAGCCTGAGTGTCCTATCTCCCCTCCATTCTGGCACTGCAGTCTCCCTAAATGTCTTTGTCGTTGACATTTTACACTTCCAGGAGCGTAAAATTTTGTCCCCTTCTGTGAGCCTTGGCTCCTTCCTTTGAGCACTACATCACTAGAGGACTGCACAGTGATGTAGTAGGTCAAATAATGGAACAATATGACTGATAGTCCACCTCCTAGGAAGTTAAACTGTGTACACACACATTGTTTTTGTTCAGCTGGCAGCCTAAAAAAAAAAAAAAAAAAAAAAAAAAAAAAAAAAAAAAAAGATTCCTCCATCCACTCAAGAGCTGAATGCAGGAATTCCCCTGCCAGCACATCAGAATCCACAGTCAGAATACACTAATCAGTGCTGCAGCTGATTGGCTGCAAGCCACTGACTGTTTGGTATTCCAGCAGTCCGATTCACCAAAAGCAAATCTGAGGATCGGCTTCTAACAGGGAAAGCTACACACAGACCGAAATTCAGCCAGTCCCTGTTAAACCAGCCAAGTTTTAATCCATGCGTACCCAGCTTTATACTTACCACTCTGCTCTCGTCTGCCAACTCACTGAGTGCTTTCTTTACTGAGGCAAAGATACCAGTATGGGGGAGCATGTGATTTCCCTAATGTGACACCAGGCTTGAACACTGGGAAAGGCAGTGATGTCATCTACCTGTGTAAGCTCCCAGAATAAAGCTTGCAGTGGGATTTTACTGTGAGGGATTTTAGAAGAGGCATACCTTGCTGGGGAAAGGGGAGGGGTGGGATCTAACAACAGACACGGTCACTTTGCTTCTAAGGGGAAAAGGAAACGCTTTTCTTACGTCTAGATAGTAAAGGAAAAAACAGATGTGAGTGTTCGGATTGCTTTTCAAGTAGGAAATCCCCTAGGCAGCCAGTTAGTTAGTCTGGTTGAAGAAAGACAACCCACAGAGGAAAAAAAAAACAAAAAAACGTACGCACACAAAACCAGCACGAGCTACAAATAAACCAGTCCTGGGTTAAATACAGAGCTTACCATTACTAACCTTCTTATGAAAATGCTAGTTTCCTGGCTATTTCTTGCTACAGTACTGTAAATCACTGACTGACATGCAACAAGTGAATCGCATACTTATTCTAGGTCAATGATTCAAATGGTTGAAGTTAGCAGCAGAAATGGGTGCCCCATATTTCTCTTACAACAGATTTCCATTCATCTCAGAAGTCACAAATTAATTCAATATTTTTTTTTACTTATTCAGGAACACATGCTTTATTAGACCTCGTTTATTACACAATTTCCCTTATCTGAACAAAGCAGTGGAAAGAAATATACAATTAATTCTGTAAATAAATGCTGTAAACCAAGGGGTGTCGAAGACAAGTGGACCCAGATGTAAATTGACCTTGGTCCTTATCAACATCTTAAAACTGGCTAGTCCTCTTTTGAATCTCCTCCACCAAATTTGGCCTGGCAACATTCACCTAAAAAAAGGAAAAAATTATTCAAAGAAAGTACCATTCAAGTTCTTGAAAAACATGTGAATGGCATAAATATTTAACTTGCCAAATATAGTTGTATTCCCTGCTCTATGTTATAGTTATACAACCAATAATTACATTTACATCTCATTGGGGTACATTTCATACAGCAATGATAATTGTGACTGTAATGCCTAGTGGAAAGTACATGCGAATACATACAAGAATGTGCTCCAGGAAGTTATAAGAGGTCAGCAGGAAACGTTTCTTTTTCTACTACATTCTCTGCCATTTTGAAACATTAAAACCACAGGACCCTATTCTTCATAATGATTGCATATTACCATGGTAGGGCTGGAAAGTTAGAGAAGAAGAGGCTTTTGCTTGTCTATCATAAAACTGCCCACACAGATATCATCACAAATAAAAGAACAGGCTCATTCACAAAGCTATCTATCGACTGACCTGTGTACAACCAGCCTGTCAGATTTTTCCCTGAAAAATTAGTGCCACCAGTTACAGCTGTCAGAATATAAATAACAGCCCAGCAGAAAGGATCTGCTATGGATGGGGGAATTGGTGGTTGAAGAAAAAAAAATGAATCATGTATGGTCTCTGCATTACTTTTTTCTCTGCCTCTCCCATATAACAGACAATCAAGCAGTGAGGACATTTAGAGTGCTGTACAAACTGTATGAAGTCTACAGCTACCAGTAACCAACGTGTTCTCCAAAGTTCTAACTTTTTTTCCCACTGTAATAGAAAAGGTAATTTTATTCTATGTCAAACTTGAAGCTGGCCACACATTTTTATGCGACAGGGTGGTTGAAGAAATATCGACTGGAAGATCAAATTTTGTTCAACTGTAGTGGCCACACATATATCGAAATTCGGCCGGTCCCTGCTAAACCAGCACAATTTTGATCCATCTAAGGCCACCTTTAACCACTTCAAGTCTGGACACTTTTACCCCCTTCCTGTCCAGGCCAATTTTCAGCTTTCAGCGCTATCATATTTTGAATAACAATTGCGCAGTCATGCAACACTGTACCCATATGGATTTTTTAGCATTTTTTTTTTAGACAGATAAAACTTTATTTTGGTGGTATTTATTCACCATTGGGATTTTTATTTTGTTTTGCTATATAAATGAAAAAGTCCAAAAATTTTTAAAAAAAGTGTTTTTCTTACAAAATTTTGTAAATAAATTTTTCTTCATAAATCTTTCCCACAATTTATTCAGTTATTTACAAATTAGTTTATAACCAAAAATTATAATTTTTTTTAATTTTTTTTTACATTATTTTATTTTTTTATATTATTTATGTTTTTTTTTTGGTTTTTTTTTTACATACTGTCACTCTAGCAGTACAGAATCACCATAGTGACACTGTACTACTTATGATGAAGATTTTTTTTTTTTATATACATATATACATGGGCGAGACAGGAAGTGGTTAAGAAAAAAACTTTTGGCTTGAATTAGGCTTTTAAAGAACTTGGTAACCTCTATTCTCTTAGAGCTGGACAGAACTCCAATGCAAACCTACTGCTGGGAGAATGAAGGGGCCTATGTGTATGAGAGCAAGGTATTTACAGTAAACCATCCCAGAAATGTATTGTCACATGGATAGCTGGCTACACACTTTCAGTTTTTCTTTGTTCAACTAGCAGGTTGGAGAAAAAAAAAGGAAATGACAGATTGCTTCATCAATACAAGTGATGTTAATGCAGTGATCTCTCCCGCTGAGACATTGTATCCTAACAGTGGGACCTCCCCTGTCAGAATACACTGATCACATTTTTAGTTTAAGCATGCTCTTTTGACAACCGACAGCTGTACATATGGACCAAAAGTTGTTTGGTTCCCATTGAAATGGCCAATTTTCCACCCATGTGTACAGAGCTTAATGTAGATCAGAAATATTAGATTTCTGACAAATAAAAAAAAAAGAAAACAAAAAAATCCTCTAAGGCTTGATTCACATTTGTGCGGGTGGTGCCGCTGTGGGACCCGCAAAACGACCTGTAGCCGCACCACCCACACAAAGGAATGCAGGCCCGCAGGCGGGTGCCATTAATTCTAATGGCATGCTGCCCACACTGGAAATCACAACCGTACTAGGAACCTTAGTTCCCATGCAGGCTGTGATTTCCTAAGTAGTGCAGGGACTTCTTCCCTGCGTGTCCCGGGGAACAGGAGTACATACACGGCCGAACAAATGTGAACCAGGGTTAAAAGAACATTTATTATAAGGAAACTAAGTAATATGCAATGTGTAAATAAGTTGGTTGATCTACATAACTGATTAATGAGTTCCCGTGCACAAACAGGAAGTATGGAGGTAGGGAGTCTTTCTCAGCAGGGAGTACAGAATTAATTTAATTTTGTACCAGGATAGCTAGACACATTTGAGTTGAGGTCTTTGCTGGTTCCAAGGTACAATATAACATATATGTGCTCAAAAAAAGGGGTCAGAGTGTTTGGAGTTTGCACTAGTGATAGGCACAGAGAAACCCAAGGTTGCAGGGTCTCACTAGAAAAAGACCAGAAGGAGATTACAACAGAACACATAAGAAAGAAGCATACCTCTTCCCTTGTAGAGACCACTCTCAGCTTTACCACTCCATCTTTTAGCTCCTGTTCTCCTATAATGGCCACCAGTGGAATGCCTGCCTCTTCACAATACTGCAGCTGATTTAGTAACTTTGGATTCTTCTTGTACAACATTTCTGCCTGCATGCACCAAGACATAATTTGATAAGAAACAGTTTTACTGCTAAATACAAAAGATTGGATTGTTAGACAAACTGCCCCTACACTGACATTTAGATAGGGGAACAATACAAACAGTACATCTTCAGAGATATACCATCAAAACAAGCCCACCTGTTTGTCTCTGCTATTTTGTGACTATGCTCAATTGTAACTGCACTCGACATTTAGATTGTATGGTAGCAATGAAAAAAACACATCACAGAAATTCAAGCAGACTGACCTCATTGCATACTTTTTTGAAAACACAATACAGATATAATAGTAAATCTGTTGGTTTAAAACAGGATTCATGGTAGGTGGCAAAGCAGAAATCTAGTCCTCATGGGGCAGGCTTTCCTTTCAGAAAGTGTAGGTGCTGCAAAGTGCAAATCTAAGCAAATCAGATGCAGCACATCTAAGGTAAGAGGTTTGCCAGATGCCCTACATAAGAAATCATGTCACAATCCATTCAAAAGGAAATCAAGACTGTAAAAGTTAGAGAGCTACTGGAAATAAACGCATGTAAAAATCCGACATGCTGGTTGTACCAAGGGCGATTGATGGATTATTATTATTATACAGGATTTATATAGTGCCAACTGTTTGCTCAGTGCTTTACAATATAACGGGAGACAATACAGCAACAATACAAGGGGGTTAGGAGGGCCCTGCTCCTTGGAGCTTACAATGTAAGAGATCAACTTGGGTGCAATCAGCCTGCCCATACATTGATCAAATCTTGTCTGATCCTGCTAAACCGGCTGAGATTTGAATCATCTATGGCTGGCCTAACTTTAAATAGCAATATGGTTTAAATAAGAGCTGTCAGTGTTGTCTTACATTCACAATCCTATTTAAAAAACTGTAGAATTTTTCTATGCAGAGTGCATAGAGATAATGATATCATTGAGATAATGATATCATTACAGCTGGACAATTCAAACGGCTAGAGCGCAAACCTGGAAGAAAGACTAGGCATAGATGGAAGTGCCAGGAATGCTGAAAACTCTGTTAAAGGTACAGCAAGTCTGTCATAATGTGCTAGTATGCAGCTCTTATTTATTTCCCCTGTAGGTCCCGGCTGGGAGAATGTTTTACCCATGTGGACAAGAGATAGAACAGACAAATACAAGAGAGACCATTTGTGTTTATATCAGGTTTTTTACGTACAGATGGGGATAGGGGGAGGGGAGGAGAAGAATACAGGCAAAGGGGTTATTGCACTTGTACTGTTAAATGCTTAATAAAAACTGATAAAAAAAACAAAAAAAAAAAAAAAAAAAACACCACATGTACACTTATTACTATGGGGGCACTGTGGACTCAGCTCATCCTCTAAAAATTAGATTATTCCTGGCCCATGCTTCTTCGCTTCTGCTTGAGGTTTGGCTAATCGATAAACAGAACATGCTAGGTCATTATTAGGAAAATAATCGGGCACCATGAAATACCTTGATCCCAGCATTCCAGAGTTCAGCAATAAGTTTCATCCTTTCTTCCAGAAGTTTCTTCTGAGCAGCTGCTACTAGTACCTGTGTCTCTGTGGTTCGAATCTTTGCCTCTGAAGCCTGGTGAAAGACATAATGCAGAAGACTACAATTTGTTCTGGCACTGCATGACAGTTTCTCATCCAATAAAACTGAAGCCCATTTACTAAGCTCTGGTAACAATTTTCTTACAAAGTGAACAGCCTATCTGCCTTTAGTAAATTAACCTCTGTGTGTCATCCAAATGTGGTCACCAGCGCAGGAAATGAAGGGAAATCTTCCCAAAAAAAGACCAACAGCAAGAAATATCAGGCAGAGCTTCTAACTTCTTCACGCTTTATCCAAAAAAACCAGTTTTGGCTAGGGTTGGACTTTACTAGTTGAATGTGTAAATGCTTCTTCTACAAACCATTGCTGAATCCCATTAATAGACAGCTGCATATTCAGATTAACAGATGCCCATTAAAGTAATAACTGAAAAGTTCACTTCAAGAAATAGGCTAACCCAGCAGTTCTACATTTCTATACATCACACATTTTCTAACATGCTGGATGATTTCATACAAACAGATTACTGTAAGAAATCTCATCCATGGCAATATTATCTAAAATAAATGAATGGCCATATTTAATATGCTAGTGCAAATTAAATCTATCCAATACATACAGATGCTGTCTACTCCAAATAATTTAACTTTAAATGATTTAAGATTCTTTTTACAGAGGGTACAAAAACACTTTAATTTATTACTTTTACATTTTCCACATTTATCTTGCCTATTTGCGTCCGGTCACCAAGAAAAGTTGCTCCTCTCTCCTGTCCTATAGCCTTAAATCTTTGGTGTAAACTAGCAAGAGAAAAACCTAATGTATTGTCCATGGACCTGGATGTCCTGTCAAAATTGATCATGCTAAATGGGCAACTGGGAAAAAATCGTAATCATGTATTCAGACTGCAGAAACAAAGATATTGTGGTCAAAGAGAGGTTAAAAAAAATGGGAACTGCCACTGCTATAGGTGCATCATCGGCAGTACACAGTAGGTACAACATAACCTAATACCAACATGCTCTCTAATGGTTTTGTGCAACTAACAGACAACCAAATTCTTAACCTAGCTAGTCTAGATTCCTTGTATTGGATAACAGCCATACTGTACATCTGGGTACTCGCACAGGTTGCATTTTCCCATTTTCCCCAGTATTTTAATCAATACTATTCTCATTTAATTGTTAGTCACACCAGAACCACTTACCTCAGCTTTTTGCTCCATGATTGAGAATATTCTCTCAATTCCAATGCTCACTCCCACACATGGAACCTTCCTTCCCTTGGGATCAAACATTCCTACTAGGCCATCGTAACGTCCTCCTCCAGCTACACTGCCAACACTGACTGACTCTTCTGTGTGGTTGTTCTGCTGCTGAGATTCTGCTTGGTTCTGGATCAGCACTGCTTCATAGATAACTCCTGTGTAATAATCTAAGCCACGAGCCAAACTCAGATCAAATGAAATCTGTATTAGGAGTTAAATATGGTAAAAGAAAAGTGAAAAAAAAAAAAAAACAAAACAAAAAACATAATTCTAGAAGAAACAGCACCAAAATTATTCAATAGCCATTAAAATATCCATGTTTACATGCAACTAAATGCTTAAAATAGATCCATAGTCATATATGGACAAAAGGTTCACTGGGCCAAGCTGCTCCCTGTGTTGCAGAAATACAGAGTGCTGAAATACTGTACTTACCTGTCAGCTTTTTTAAGGTATCTTCCAGGGTGCCAATGGCCTTGGCATTTTAACTTACATTTTATTGCTGAGGATATTTTGGGCAGAGGACTCCCTGCCTCTACTTTAGCAACCAAAAAGTGTCTAGTTTTACTCAGTCGTAGCAAAGGAGCAGATGTATAAGCAAAGACTGTGGCCATTAGCACCTGTTAGCACCTAACCATAATGAAAGTGTATGTCCTTGTCCTGACAAAACTTTTGTTAGTCTTGGATAGTGGGAGAAGAATTAGAACCTGTTTGTTACTGCTAGCCAGGCTGAGATTTATCTTGCTTCCTGTCCTGATGACATTTTACAAGACAGGACATTAGAGGTACTTTTCAACAGCAACAAAGACGGTAATAAAATTATTATTTTTTTCTAAAGTATAGTAGGTTGAGACTAGACCCTTATCAGATTTTTTATTTGTCTGGGTCTTTGCTGCAGATTTCCCCTCACTTCCTGTGTGGTGAAACCATTGTCAGTAGGACATCAGGAGAAATCTCCCACAGCTGATCACGTGGTAAAATGCCGCTGTGATTGGCCTTTTACCTTGTCATGAGATCAACTGTGTCCATAGGACACAGAAATCACAGACAACGCCAGGTGCGCGTGGGGGGAGCATTTTTGGAAGACGCCATATGACACCCCCCCCCAGAACTGGACAACCACACTGTAGCCATCATTTGGCTATAGCCCGGTTGTCCAGTGGTTAAAGGACACTTGCCATGAGTAAAATACTGGGACTATCATGCTTGTTGCATAATGCTTGTTGCCTAGCTGTATCTGGATTTTTTTTTTTTTTAATCAAACTCAGAACATGCATGCAATAAATCAAAGCCTCAAATTCAGAGTCCTTTATTGCTATGAGTTTTCCAACTTCGCCATGATAGGCAGACAGTTCTATGCGGAGATGTATCTTCAGAGAAAACAAATGAAAAAGTAAAAGAAAATTATTTCAGTTTTCCTTTTAAAGAAAATGTGTGCTGATAGAAATATGCAGGTTGACCTTTTAAAAATGTTATATGACTAGCTCTCTCTGGCCTGGAACCAGCATGCAATAAGAGAAGTCAGTGGAAAGTAGGAACTCCTGATCTGCACAATTGTTTCAGGTCAGCGACTCTAAATATATTGAGCTTTTAGGGTCAACATGACAGCCAGCAACTAAAATTTTCAAAAGGAGAATACAGCAATAGCAGCCTCCATATTTTCTCAGTTTAGGTTTCCATTAATCACAGTGAAGACATGGCAACATAATAACATTTTTGCCAGGACTGAGGACAAATTCAGCTGTGCTCTCATCAGGCTGCCCAGGTAATTTTGCCAATTTGTCACCTTTTCTTTATAGAAGAGTACATAGTATGTAGATTTTACAGTCATTTTCGCATACATTAAATAGTAGTATATGCAACACTTTTTTTTCCATTTTGAATAGAGCAAAGAAGGGTTATATCCCGTCAAATTATTTTTTGCAATCTGTATCCCATTCCGGAGAATTCTCCTCACTTCCTGTCCTATAACCAAACAGGAAGTGAGAGGAAATCCCTGCAAATTAAGGAAACCCCTTGGGGACCCCCACGTAACCATACCTAATGTCCCCATTGGAAGAATTCCTCTCTATTACATTTTTGGGGACAACCCAAAATTTGGGAATTTTTTTTACTTTAACTAATAAAGGTAAACAGGACCAACAGAGAGGGTGAATCTCCTTAATGGGAGCAAAGACAGAAACAAAAACTGACACGCATTCTTATCCCTCTCCACTCTTTGTCAACACCCACCTTATCTGTCACACCAAATAGCTGCAGGTACTCAAACATGATCTTCATATCATTTAATCCTTCTAAAGCCTGCTTGCTCTGAGAGAGTTTAGGATCCTTTAGTAGTCTCTCAATCAGATCCAACCCACCTGCAATATATTACAACATTTGTAAAATAAGCAACATAGCTACATGCAAATAACTTAATCTCTTCTAGGATTGCAGATCCAAATTTGCACAGCATCCCAAGGAAAACATGGCTATCCATGAAGCTTCTGTGGAGAAAGGCTATTTCTTTTTATGAAAATGTTGTGCTTTTTTGAAACCGTAATGACAGAATAAATGGAAAATCCCAGACATGCAGTGGTGTACTTGCAGTTTTTTTGTACTGATACTATGTAATAAAGAACAGGTTGGAGCTACCATGTTTCTGATATCACATGGCACACTATCTTATTTTTTGTTGTCTTGCATTCAAATATCTCCTTGCACATGATGGTAGTATTGTTGTAGCCAATAGTCACAGCACAGTGATGGCTAAAGCCAGGACTTATGCCATCCTTCCTGATTGTTCCAGGTCAGTGACTCAGAGAAGCCAGAGACAGCCAGATACCATTTTTAGGAGGTCACAAATGGCATTCTGTATTTTTTCTCTAATGGCCAGGTTCCTTTTAATAGTGGGTAAGAATATTCCTTGGGACAGCTATTGCTCACCATTATTTTGGACGTATTCGCCAATCAAGTCAGCAGCTTCTGGAGCAAGGCCCTTCTCCCCCACCATTTCATTCTTCACTTCTTCCCAGGGAGTCTACAAAAGAAGAGTACAGATAAAGTGTGGGTCTTAATTTCTGCCAACTTTGCTATGGGTGGTAACCTCTTTATGGTCTCGATTGCAGTCCCAATCATAAAAACAGTGCAAATAAAACTAATATAACAACAGTTTTGAGGTAATCAATCACAAAACTGAACAATTTTAAAATGAGTTGATAATGACTTTTTCTGTGAAGATAGAATTTAGCCCACCCCCTTCTGGCTCATGAGCCCTATTACTGTCAGGAAATCCACATTGTAAATGACCAAAGGGAAGCGCAAGGGCTCGTTCACACAGTGCAATGACCAACGTTTTTCTGAGCTGGATGAACACAAGTCACCGCTAGGGCACATAGTAAACAAGCCCAGATGTTCCGTGCTGAGTTGCAGTACAATATAGACATGTTATATTACACAGGTAATCAATATTGATGCAGCGCTGTGATAACTAAGTATCAAATCAAATATGGTTAACCATAGTAACTGTATGACTTAACAATAAAGTGGGTTTCAACCGTGAGAAAACAGTGTATTCTGTGTCAAACAGCCCGCACAATCTCGACACACAGTGATTCCCTCTATGACATATAAATCACTATTTATAGATGGTAAAGACAAAAAAAATGCAGTCCACAGTATCCAGTATAGATGTATAAACACGCTTTTAGAGGACACAAATGCTCCTGTGCTCGTGCAAAGTGGTAGGTGACAATCCTTATATGGCTAGCATGCCCGCTCACCTTCCCCCTGCGACCCACAGGGGCCAAATAGCCTTACGGGTCATACCTTGACCCTATGCGTTTTCTCCAGGTGCAAGATACTCTTCACTCTCCAATGCTCTCTCCTTCACCATCTGCTATTCCCCCTGAATAGGTACCGCTGTGCATGTACTTAAAAACTCATGGGATGGTGGCAGTCATGAAACAAAAACACAAAGATCCTCCATAGTGCAAAACTGTATATCACATTTATTCTGTTTAAAACTGCCAAGTTACAACTCACATTTCAGCAGACGAAATTTCACTTGTAACACCTCTCATGGGTGTACTGAGGCACTCTGGTATAGCAAAATGGCGCCAACCCGGAAGTGCGTCACCACGTCACATCTACGCGTTACGCCACGCCCCTCGTAGCTTCGTCAGGAGGATCCTGATCCTGACGAAGCTACGAGGGGCGTGGCGTAACGCGTAGATGTGACGTAGTGACGTGGTGACGCACTTCCGGGTTGGCGCCATTTTGCTATACCAGAGTGCCTCAGTACACCCATGAGAGGTGTTACAAGTGAAATTTCGTCTGCTGAAATGTGAGTTGTAACTTGGCGGTTTTAAACAGAATAAATGTGATATACAGTTTTGCACTATGGAGGATCTTTGTGTTTTTGTTTCATGACTGCCACCATCCCATGAGTTTTTAAGTACATGCACAGCGGTACCTATTCAGGGGGAATAGCAGATGGTGAAGGAGAGAGCATTGGAGAGTGAAGAGTATCTTGCACCTGGAGAAAACGCATAGGGTCAAGGTGTGACCCGTAAGGCTATTTGGCCCCTGTGGGTCGCAGGGGGAAGGTGAGCCGGCATGCTAGCCATATAAGGATTGTCACCTACCACTTTGCACGAGCACAGGAGCATGTGTGTCCTCTAAAAGCGTGTTTATACATCTATACTGGATACTGTGGACTGCAATTTTTTTGTCTTTACCATCTATAAATAGTGATTTATATGTCATAGAGGGAATCACTGTGTGTCGAGATTGTGCGGGCTGTTTGACACAGAATACACTGTTTTCTCACGGTTGAAACCCACTTTATTGTTAAGTCATACAGTTACTATGGTTAACCATATTTGATTTGATACTTAGTTATCACAGCGCTGCATCAATATTGATTATTTGTATATTATATGTCCATTTAAAAGGTGAGGATTGGATGTTGGCAGCTGTCTCTATATCATATATTGTAAACGCAGCAGCGCAGGTGGATTTACCACTTATATTACACAGGTAGGCACCGCATGTCACCATACAGCAACGCAATGCACTGTGCTGGTGGGTGGAGTTATGAATGAAGTGTCACTATGTGCACTTCAAATAAATTTAAATGAACTGACAGTTGCCTGCATGCTAAAACAGCAGTGTGAATTTTAGTATAAAATTTTCAGAATATTGATTTTTGATTTTGGGATATATAAAATCAGGAATACCATCCTACAGACACCCAGGAGATCTATGGTTTGCAACAAGGGATTTTACTGAACTTTCACCTAGAACATGCTTTTCATCCCTATATGTGATGGCCATCTACTTAAAAGATGTCAGGTGATCTACAAGCTAAACATCATGGAATGTCTTTGAGCTCATAGCAATAAACCTTATGGCCCAAGCCTACAATTGGCAAAGACCTATCTCAAGTCACATAAATTAAAGCTAATAAAACTGTCTCTTCATATCTTCAATTGTACAAAATTGTGGCTAAAAAGGACTTTCTGTTCTTGTTAGACACTGGGTAGATAAACTTATCTTAATAGCATACACATTCTCCTCTTTAGTGTCAGCTCCCAAAAGTAATAAAATTACTAAGACTCTAGTGATGTTTTAGGACTGGAAATGTAATACTGTATGCAGGATGAGATTAGATACTTTATGCTTTTCAAGACTGGTTAGCTGTGCTCTACCTGAGGCTGTGCATAGAAAATATAGGGTAATCAGAGATGTGGGTAGGATCCAACAGCCTGCATGTAAATAAATTCAACATAAACTGCTAAAGTTGCCTCTTTTGATTGAGCAACTTAAGCCGGCCATAGATGGAGCAATTTTCTTTCCTGCAGAAAAATGCTTGATTCCCCCATCAACACAGTTAGTGATGATGGGGAAATCCCTCCCGCAAGGCTATTGTGTTCTCCCAGCTGGGGGGATGGGGGGGTGAGGAGCCATTCCTGCTGGAAGAACACAATGATTACTGCTAGCGACTATAATATCCGCTAGCAATAATCTCTGCTACATGTATTATCATTGGGACACCCAATTTACAGTCAAGCTCCTTAACGGCCCCCCGCACGCCATATAGTAGTATGACGGACGCAAGGTGGTTCTCTCATTCTGGGAGGACGTCATATGACGTCCTCCCATTCTAACCGCGCATGCGCGGCTCCTGGAGCACGGCGGCGGCGGTGCGCTCTGTCCCTCAGACACAGCGGATCACCGATCCACGGAAAGAGCCGAAGATTGTTGGCTCGGTCATGTGATCAGCTGTGTCCAATCACAGCTGATCACATGTAAACAGGGAAATGCCGGTTATTGGTATTTCTCTCCCCACGAGCTGTCACGCCGACAGCTCCTGAAGAGAGTTGAGCCGGTAATCAGCATTCCTCGGAGGAGACATGTACACAGATCATCAGAGCACTGATGATCAGTGTGCCCTGATGATCTGTGTAGCCCCAGCAGCGCCACCTGTCAGTGTCCATCAGCGCCAGCGCTCATCCATGCCACCTGCCAGTACCCATCAGTGCCACATTTCAGTGCCCATCTGAGCTGCCTTACAGTGTCACCCATCATTGCCAGTCAGTGCTGCCAGTCAGTGCCCGTCAGTGCTGCCAGTCAGTGCCCGTCAGTGCTGCCAGTCAGTGCCCGTCAGTGCTGCCAGTCAGTGCCCGTCAGTGCTGCCAGTCAGTGCCCGTCAGTGCTGCCAGTCAGTGCCGCCAGTCAGTGCCGCCAGTCAGTGCCGCCAGTCAGTGCCGCCAGTCAGTGCCGCCAGTCAGTGCCGCCAGTCAGTGCCGCCAGTCAGTGCCGCCAGTCAGTGCCGCCATCAGTGCCAGTCAGTGCCGCCTATCAGTGCCATATATATTAGGGCTGCCTTTCAGTGCCATCAGTGATGCCTGTCAATGCCCATCAGTGCCACCTACCAGTGCCTCCTCATCAGTGCCCATCAGTGCAGTCTCATTAGCGCACATCAGTGAAGGAGAAAAATCACTTATTTTCAAAATTTTATAACAAAAACGAAGAAAAAACTTTTTTTTTTTTTCAAAATTTTCAGTGGTTTTTGGTTTAAGAAAAAATAAAAAACCCAGAGGTGATTAAATACCACCAAAATAAAGCACTGTCACAAAAAAAAAAGATAATTTCATATGGGTACAGTGTTGCATGACCGCGCAATTGTCAAAGTGCAACAGCGCTGAAAGCTGGAAATTGGCCTGGGCAGGAAGGGGGTATAAGTGCCCTGTAGGCTAGTGGTTAAAGGATAAGTTCACCTTTGTTTAAAAAAAAAAAAAAAAAAAAAAAAAAAAAACATGCACATATTTTTGCAGGTAAAAAAAAGTGCATTTATTCTTTTATTCATTTTTTCTTTATTAGGAGCCTGTAAAGCATTCCACGGTGCTGCATTGCAGACTGTTTAGCTGTCTGCTTGTACCTCTGATATGGGCAGGCATTTACACAATGACAGGGACATCAATGGACTACCTAGAGTGCTCATCAGTGCCCTGATAGTTCATAGAGACCTACAAGCTATCAGCCACAATGGATGACAGTAGTTGTAGTTCTCCCATTCGCAGAATTGTTTTTTTTTTTTAAATTGTGACAATGGTTCTGTGAGAAGATCCTCAGCCCGCTGTCACAACAAGGAATTGAGGGGGAACATATGTTACACTCTGAATACGGGTGTAACATGTAAGGAGAGGTGAACCTATCCTTTAAGTTTTTGCAGTTCTCTTGAAAGCATTATCTACAGTCAAAACATTTTCAGTAAATGTTCAATACAATAGAAGAGGGTTAGATCCAATGTCAAGTTTTATTGCTATCTAGCACTGAGAAAGGGAGATTTCCCCTTCCATTCTAACATGGCCAGCACTTTCACTATGACAGAAAAAGGGTAATATCACCATCAGAGAGACAGACAGCAATAAAACTTTGTGGGGATTCTAAACGTCTTTAATGTTTCAAAAAAGTAAAAAATGTTTTGGCTGGAGTTCGACTTATAGCGTAGTATAAAAACCTTATAGCTTATCTGGGGGTCAGAGAACCTGTGATCATCCTAAGTAATGTGTGCAGCCTTTATCTGGTTAAAATGAATTAAATAATCGCCCTCCGGATTTGAGCCCTATCATGCTTCACAGTTTACAAACCTGGGATTCTGTTAAATATTCGGGTAATTTCATATCATCGTTTCTACCTCTTTTGCCAATTACGTATAATCCTTTATATCCACCAGGCCTAGAACATCCCCCTTCTTTCTCTTGGTGGACCTCCCATGGCTTTGTTATTGTACATGATTTTCTAAGCGCGCGTACGTTTCCATCATGGGAGTCTCTTCAAGTATCAATGGGGGTCCCGCCACAGGAATATATTGGTATTTGCAATTGCGCCACTGGGTCCTATCCCTCCGCCGTACCTCTACATATCCTTACAGCAAAACGCCCTTTGAACACGTCTGTCAGCATTCCCCAGGGTCCCCTGGTCTAATTTCTGTAATTTATGCCTCTCTTAACAGTAGGTCCTCCTCACCACCCGTCTTATGTCTCTCAATAGGAGCGAGATCTGGGTTTCTCGATTGCGGCGGAGGATTGACGTAGGGCCTGGGGGATGGTGGCGAAATGTTCCTTCAATACTGTCACTCTTGAGGCAGCCTACAAAGTTCTCCTGCGGTGGTACTGGGTCCCGGCTCGGACTGCCCACTTTAATCCGACTGGCGGAGATAGGTGTTTCCGGAACTGTGGTCTACGTGCGGACATCTTGCACATTTGGTGGTCATGCCCATGATTGATAGCCTTCTGGTCTAGGGTTTTTGGTTTGCTGCAAACGCTATTTCATATTACGGTTCGTAGGGATGCAAGGGTGGCCCTCCTGCATTGCCCAATTTTGGGTCTGTCTAGGTCTTAGCAGAAATTGGCATCCTACCTATTTATTTTGGCCAAACGTGCTATAGCTCAAGCTTGGAGAACCCCTTCGGTTGTCTTCCAGGGGGTGAAGACCCGGATGACTGCTATGTTGATCAATGAAGAGATGTCTAGCGTTCTTCAAGATTCTCATCCGAGATTCCTTAAGGTTTGGGAACCTTGGATATGTTATTCCTTGCCATCCCTGCCTCCTACTAGTTATGGCCTCCTATAGTCGTTGCCTGTGCTAGCCCTGGATCCGTGATTCTTCTAGTTTTCCTTTCCTCCATGTTTTCTTTCTTATTTTTTTCTAGATTTTGAGATTTTCTTTTTCCTTCTTTATAACTTTTTTTTTTTTTTCTCTTCTTTTTCCGGTAATACAGGTGAAACTCGAAACATTAGAATATCGTGCAAAAGTTAATTTATTTCAGTAATGCAACTTAAAAGGTGAAACTAATATATGAGATAGACTCATTACATGCAAAGCAAGATAGTTCAAGCTGTGATTTGTCATAATTGTGAGGATTATGGCTTACAGCTCATGAAAACCCCAAATCCACAATCTCAGAAAATTAGAATATTACATGCAATCAATAAAACAAGGATTATACATAGAACAATACTGGACCTTTGAAAAGTACAAGCATGCATATGTACTCAGTACTTGGTTTGGGCCCCTTTTGCAGCAATTACTGCCTCAATGCGGCGTGGCATGGAGGCCATCAGCTCGTGGCACTGCTGAGGTGTTATGGAAGACCAGGATGCTTTAATAGCGGCCTTCAGCTCTTCTGCATTGTTTGGTCTCATGTCTCTCATCTTTCTCTTGGCAATGCCCCATAGATTCTCATGGGGTAAAGTTCAGGCAAGTTTGCTGGCCAATTAAGCACAGTAATCCCACAGTCATTAAACCAGGTTTTGGTGCTTTTGGCAGTGTGGGCAGGTGTCAAGTCCTGCTGGAAAATGAAGTCAGCATCCCCATAAAGCTTGTCTGTGGAAGGAAGCATGAAATGCTCCAAAATCTCCTGGTAGACGGCTGCGTTGACCCTGGACTTAATAAAGCACAGTGGACCAACACCAGCAGATGACATGGCTCCCCAAATCAACACAGACTGTGGAAACTTCACACTGGACTTCAAGCATCTTGCAGTGTGTGCCTCTCCATTCTTCCTCCATACTCTGGGTTCTTGGTTTCCAAATGAGATGCAAAAGTTGCTCTCATCAGAAAAGAGCACTTTGGACCAATGAGCAACAGACCAGGTCTGTTTTTCTTTAGCCTAGGTAAGACGCTTCTGACGTTGTTTGTTGTTCAGGAGCGGCTTGACAAGAGGAATACGACATTTGAAGCCCATATCCAGGATCCGTCTGTGTGTGGTGGCTCTTGATGCACTGATTCCAGCCTCAGTCCACTCCTTGTGAAAGTCCCCAACACTTTTGAATGGCCTTTTCCAGACAATCCACTCCAGGCTGCGGTCATCACTGCTGCATTTGCACCTTTTTCTTCCACACTTTTCCGTTGCACATAACTTTCTATTAATGTGCTTTGATACAGCACTTTGGGAACATCCAACTTCTTTTGCAATTACCTTTTGAGGCTTTCCCTCCTTTTGGAGGGTGTCAATGATGGTTTTCTGCACAACTGTCAGGTCAGCAGTCTTTCCCATGATTGTGATTCCTACTGAACCAGACTGAGAGACCATTTAAAGGCTCAGGAACCCTTTGCAGGTGTTATGGCTTAATTAGCTGATTAGAGTGGGACACTTTGAGCCTAGAATATTGCACCTTTTCACAATATTCTAATTTTCTGAGATTGTGGATTTGGGGTTTTCATGAGCTGTAAGCCATAATCATCACAATTATGACAAATCACAGCTTGAACTATCTTGCTTTGCATGTAATGAGTCTATCTCATATATTAGTTTCACCTTTTAAGTTGCATTACTGAAATAAATGAACTTTTGCACGATATTCTAATTTTTTGGGTTTCACCTGTATGATAGATTGCTGCTGCTATTATTTGGTTCAGCTTTTTGCCGTCCCTCCTTGATGTCATTGGACATTCAGTTATTTGGCTAATACAAGTCAGCAGGATGTATCTATTTATGTATGTTGTTCTGCTGTGCCCCTGCGTGGGCGTATCGAGCTTGTTGTATTCTTAAAATAAAACTTTCTTAATAAAAATATTGAAACAGAAAAAGATCAAATAATATAGGACCTCTCTAAAGTGTGGATCACTTCCCCAATGTTTTCTTTTTTCGACTACTGGGGACATTTAAAACTTTAGTTTCAGTATACATTTTTTCCAAACATTTACCTTATCCAGTTTGTCCACCGAGGAGCAGATTGTACGGAACTTACTGTCTGGTACGCCACAAACTGCAAACATCCCATCCAAAATCCTCCTGTCATTCACCTGTAATTACATCATAACACTACAAAGTCAGACAGTTACAGTCCATTGTCTTATGTGCGCGATTTTCTAAAATCAATGATCCCAAGAAAGGATAAAATAAGGATGCCCAATATATAATATACACTGCTCAAAAAAAATAAAGGAACACTTTTTAATCAGCATATAGCATCAAGTCAATTAAACTCCTGGAATATTGATCTGGTCAGTTAAGTAGCAGAGGGGGTTGTTAATCAGTTTCAGCTGCTTTGGTGTTAATGAAATTAACAACAGGTGCACTAGATGGGCAACAATGAGACGACCCCCAAAACAGGAATGGTTTTACAGGTGGAGACAGCTGACATTTTTTTTCTCTACTCATCTTTTCTGACTGTTTTTCACTAGTTTTGCATTTGGCTAAAATCAGTGTCACTACTGGTAGCATGAGGCGATACCTGGACCCTACAGAGGTTGCACAGGCAACTCCCCCAGGATGGCACATCAATACGTGCCATTGCCAGAAGGTTTGCTGTGTCTCCCAGTACAGTTTCAAGAGCATGGAGGAGATTTCAGGAGACAGGCAGTTACTCTAAGGGAGCTGGACAGGGCTGTAGAAGGTCCTTAATCCATCAGCAAGACCGGTAGGAGGAACAGGATGAGCACTGCCAGAGCCCTACAAAATGACCTCCAGCAGGTCACTGGTGTGAATGTCTCTGACCAAACAGTCAGAAACAGACTTCATGAGGGTGGCTTGAGGGCCCGACATCCCCTAGTGGGCCCTGTGCTCACTTCCCAGCACCATAGAGCTTGATTGGCATTTGCCACTGAACAACAGAAATGCCAGGGCCACCACTGGCGCCCTATGCTTTTCACAGATGACTGCCATTAGGTATTGGGATGAAATCCTTGGAGACATTGTCAGACCCAGTGGGTCCTGGGTTCTTTCTGGTGCACGACAATGCTGGCCTCATGTGGCAAGAGTATATGCAGGCAGTTCCTGGAGGATGAAGGAATTGATACCACTGAATGGCCCCCACACTCGACTGACCTAAATCCAATAGAACACCACTGGGATATCATGTTTTGGTCCATCAGATGCCACCAGATTGCACCTCAGACTGTCCAGGAGCGCAGTGATGCCCTGGTCCACATCTGGGAGGAAATACTACCCCAGGACACCATCCGTTGTCTCATTAGGAGCATGCCCCAATGTTGTCAGGCATGCATACAAGCACGTGGGGGCCATACAAAATACTGAGTACCATTTTGAGTTGCTGCAAAGAAATTTCAGCAAAATGGACTAACGTGCTGCATCATTTTTTCATTTTGATTTTCGTGGTGTCTTTGAATTCAGTCCTCTGTAGGTTGATCATTTTCATTTCCATCAAACGATGAAGCATCCTTACACATTACCCAGTCCATATCAGTATAGATTTCCAGCATATTTTTCCCCACAAAGATCTGATGTGTTTTCAAAGTGTTCCTTTAATATTTGTGAGCAGTGTACTATTTTGGTGTGATATTTGATATTGTGCAAAAATAGATTGGATGAAGTACCTTGATACTGAAGTCTCCCAATTCCAGTTCACTGAGAATTTCATGAACAATCTTCAGACATTCAGCATCGGGAATCATGGGGTCATACTGTCCTGCAATGTCAAAATCCTGCAACAAACAGCAAATGCACATACAGTCAGTTTACAAGTCTTTAGAAAAATTATGAATATAAATGCTACTAAAATGAATGGGGAAAATGTAGTTATGGTATAATAGGTTACCATTCAGCAAACATGAGAAATATAAAAGAGCCCTCTTAATCTTTTTGTATTACAGTGAACTGTAACTGGCTCTGAGGAAGAAGGGATCTCCCTTCGAAACACGTCAGCCCTTTTTTAGGGTCTTCCTCTACTTGGGATTCGCACAGGACTCACAATCGCCAAAGTTCATAAGCATATAATATCCAATACTGGACAATCAGATCAGTTTTATCCTTCCATAAATTTCTTGTCGCTGAGGTAATGACCGGGCTGGTGCACCTTTTGTTCTTATTTTGCAGCTTTATGGAAGAATGGCAAGAAGAAAGCCATTGTTGAAAGAAAGCCATAAGAATCCCGTTTGCAGTTTGCGAGAAGTCATGTGGGGGACACAGCAAACACATGGAAGAAGGTGCTCTGGTCAGATGAGACCAAAATTGAACTTTTTGACCTAAAAGCAAAACGCTATGTGTGGCGGAAAATGAACACTGCACATCACCCTGAACACACCATCCCCACTGTGAAACATGATGTTAGCAGCATCATGTTGTGGGGATGCATTTCTTCAGCAGGGACAGGGAAGCTGGTCAGAGTTGATGGGAAAATGGATGGAGCCAAATACAGTGCAATCTTAGAAGAAAACCTGTTAAGAGTCTGCAAAAGACTTGAGACTGGGGCAGAAGTTCACCTTCTAGCACGACAACGACCCTAAACATACAGCCAGAGCTACAATGAAATGGTTTAGAGAAAAGCATATTCATGTGTTAGAATAGCCCAGTCAAAGCCCAGACCTAAATCCAATTGAAAATCTGTGGCAAGACTTTAAAATTGCTGTTCACAGATGCTCTCTATCCAATCTGATAGAGCTTGAGCTCTATGGGCAAAATGTCACTCTCTAGATGTGCAAAGCTGGTAGAGACATACCCAAAAAGACTTGCAGCTGGAATAGTAGTGAAAGTTGGTTCTACAAAGTATTGACTCGGGGGGATGAATACAAATGCACACCACACTTTTCACATATTTATTTGTAAAAAAATGTTGAAAATCATTTATCATTTTCCTTCCACTTCATAATTATGTGCCACTTTGTGTTGGTCTATCACATAAAATCCCAATAAAATACATTTACGTTTTTGGTTGTAACATGACAAAATGTGGAAAATTTCAAGGGGTATGAATACTTTAAGGCACTGTATACTGTGCTGCATAAGACCCTGAAGTACCAGTAGTAGCTCCCAATGTTGTATTAGTTTCCCTGAGTGGCTACACTGAAAGCTAAAAGCCAATTTAATTGCCTGATAATGGTTCTTGCTCTTCAAGATTCTCAACACAGCTATAAAAAATAAACCCCACACTGCTGATCAAAAAAAACAGAAAAAAAGATAAATTAGAAACGATTATTATTTAAATTTTCAGTCTCAAGTGTCAATATAGCAATTTCTTTTCATACTTACACACTGATAGAACTCACGGTAGCGACCTTTTGTCATAGCTGGGTTGTCCCTTCTGTACACTTTGGCTATATGATAACGCTTAATATTTGTGATCTTATTCATTGCCAAGTAACGGGCAAACGGAACCTACCAACAGTGTTAAGGAATACATGCATTACTTTTGTTTATACAAAAGTATATACTTTTAATTCCTTTTTTTCAATTCTAATGGCAGAGGCACAGGCAAAGTACACCTTTCATAAGTCCTGCTCTTGATGGCCACCAATGCTTCAGTGTCTTCCACGCCTTCAGGTTTAAGAGTATTATTTAACCACCTGGAAGAGGTTGGGGAGCCATGATCAGGCACTGTTAATGTCATCTTATGCAGGGGTGTAAGGAGGACTGATCACTGCAGTCCGTAATCGTGAAATTGCCATCTCATCTGGCGGATTTCCTAAACACGGCCAGTTTATCACTAATTATCTCACCAATCATTCTCAGAGGAGACCTTGAATACATGCTGTGGTCAGCTACCAGGGAGCAGAAGAAACACTGCTCTACACCAATTATTTTAAAACGGTGAGAGAAGCGTCAGATGCTGTCTACCTTCCAGGTGTCATGTGAGCTTGGGGGAGATCACTATGTAGTATTCTTTAGCGATGCCCCGATAAATTGGACACCGAACATTATCGTCTAAAATAAGGTTATCAGCATTTTGCTGACTGAAAGAAGGAAAAAAAAAAAAAAAAAAAAAAAAAAAAAGGTGCCAACTTAATGATAATTGACTTCAATGCAAAATCACATCCCATTGACTTCAAGGCACAATCACGTCCCATTGACCTCAAGGCACAATCGCGTCCCATTGACCTCAAGGCACAATCGCGTCCCATTGACCTCAAGGCACAATCGCGTCCCATTGACCTCAAGGCACAATCGCGTCCCATTGACCTCAAGGCACAATCGCGTCCCATTGACCTCAAGGCACAATCGCGTCCCATTGACCTCAAAACAAAAACGCCCCTGTGGTACATTCCAAATTTTTTAGTTGGCATATGAACAGAAAGTGAGGAGAAATCTTCCAGTGGGTTAACCTGTTCTGGTGACTGTCTGAGAAGGGATATCCCCTCTTAAATCCAGTTGGGTTTCCTGAACAGGAAGTGAAGGGATATCTCCCAAACAGGTCACAGATAAAAAAATCCTTACGAGGGTCTTAACCATTTAAAAATATAAAAAAAATTGTTTAGGCGTTATATATACACTTTAAAAAAAACACTTGTGCTGAGATAAAAACGAAGGCTGCCACTGCTGATGCTTCCTCCTGAAAAGACTCATTAGGAAAGCACAAAAACCACTGGATTACCATGATAACCAGTCAAATATCACTTTCAAAAGTAAAGGACAGCAATTAGCGATGCACCGATATATCGGCCGAAAATTCTGTTATCTGCATTTTGCAGATAGGAAAAAAAGCTACCAATAATGGTGCAGATACATTCAAAGCCACTTCTGATAGACTTTAATACAAAAACGCCCTCTAGTGACTTCAAAGCAAAATTGCGTCTCATAGACTCATGCAAAAACGACCCCTAGTGACTTCAATGCAGAATTGCCAGCCACATTAATTAAATTTTTTTTTTAATTTAAAAACTGTCCGTTTCGGTTGTCGGCCAAGTGCACCCTGAATTTTCAGTTTTGGTTTCGGTACCAGAATTTTCATTTCAGTGCACCACTAACAGCAATGTCAGACCACATATTTATCATATTTTTGTTACCACGTATTCATTACTATGTACAAGTGGGCTACGTAAGTGTGAAATTGCTTCCCTGGCATGACTGTTTGGTAGTTGTAACTTTCCACCTCACCTTGCAATGGCTGCTTTTTAAAACCAACAAGTTAAAGTAACGATAGGTATGACCAGTGAAAGGAAGTTGATTATTTGAGTTGTTAAAATTGACTTTGACTGTACTCAATGGAAAAAAAATTTTGATCAGACTCTACGTCCGATTAATCTGTTGCTCCAGATGAGAATCACAGGGCTGCACATGTCTGATAAAAGCACTTTCACTATTACCCAAATACAGGGAAACTGACATCAAAGTGTATAAAGCAGTGTGTGATAAGGTAACCGTAACCTCCCTGATGTCCAGATGCCTTATCTGATACAAACATGCCCATTCAAAAAGAATGAGCTATCGGTTTTATAAAGTTTAGTGGTCATGCAATTGCTAAGCATAATCTCTTGCATCAGCATGCAAGTGCAATGCAATTTTTGCTTGTCAAAAGCAATCATTAGGTCTATGCACTGTAAGAATAAAGCATCAAATGCAAGGGCAGATCACAGCCAATTCATAGAGAAACACTCATCATAGGCTAGCACTAGGGACATTCTGATACAACATAAGCTCTCCTTAGAAGGTTAACCTGCCCCTTAACCAAACCCTCATTACTTTCCAATGCAAAATGTCTTCCTATCACCTCAAGATCGCCCATGGTCAGGTTTTTTCTTTTTTCTTTTACTTTGGGGGGCTTGTGCATCCCATTCACAGCAGTTTTTAGCTAGTTGTACTTTTAGATTACTCAGAAAACTGGGAAAATGAAGAGGATTTTATTTAAGCAATGACAGGTAAGCATTGCTCAAAATAAACTCTTTATAATTATTTTAAAGGGTACTGGCCTATCGATAAAAATATTTTATTTTTCTGTACATTGAACCACATCAGTGTCCATAATTTACATTGATTCCATATTTTGGAGTTTGGCAACAATTGTCTGAATCTTTAATTATTTTTCTCAGTTACAACTCAGCCTCAACAAACCAGAGCTGTGTCAACCCCTTCAGGCCAAGCATAAAGATGCTCACCATTGTGTATAAAACACCCACAAAGGAAGCAGATAGGCATTTCTGCTAATCACTCATTTCTATATCTCCTGGATGAAAGCCCTACTCCAGACAAAACTTTTTTGACAGAGTGATAAAGGGTTAGGATGAATAGGGAAACCTGGTACTATCCCCCTTTACTCTCAAAGTGCATCCCTGGATGTCTGACAAGCCAATCACCAAGTCCAAGCACTGTCACATGAGGGTGGAGCTACAGTCCTTCGCCCTGTGTAAGCTCAGACCAGATGACCATAGAACTTACAGAGACCAAGTGAAATAGTGGGTAGGCAATTTTAACCAGGGACAGGGGAGTGAATATATTAAGTGAACCTGTTATAAAAGTATAAGTAGACCATAAAAAAAAAAAAACAATCAAAAGACTAAGCACCCAATGGGACAGCATGACTTGTGCATTCCCTCCTGGTTTTCCTAATGACATGCATAGTCACCAATTAGCATTTTCATTTTGACTTATGCCAAGATGAAGGATACGGTGAGATCATAACGAAGGGAGAGCAATTCACCACCCTGATCCTTCAGGTCATAAATAAGTTTGGAATCTTCTCCATATTTTCCAGTTAGAGTTTCCTGAAATGTAAAATATATATATATTAAAATACAAACATAAACAGTAATACCAGTAACAAACACACTTGAATAAGCCTCAGTAGTTCATCTTTGGTACTGTAAAGGAAGTCAGCTCCTTACTAAAGTGGCATCACTGTTCTGAGAGGTACGGACTGACCCAAAACCACCATGTCTGGGTGACTGTTATGCAAATGCGTATTCCATACCAGTGATGAAACAAGTAGCAAATACAAATGGCAGGAACTTCATGTTAGAATGTCATGTTAGATGCACTTTCTATTTCTGTATAAGAGCTGTAGATGTATCTGTACACCTAAGGTCAGGTTTTAAAATAAATTGCAGAAAAAGGGCAAATCTATACTTGCCAATTATAATTTACTGCTGGGCTCTTTTGCATTGTATGTAAAGGCCAGTGTGTTGGGAACCAACTATAGCATGATGTGGCCTGAGGCATTTCTCATTCTTGTCACAAGCAAAAACATGATACTGAAGTTCAGCTAGATGTACTAAAAGCACAATTTACTTATAACTACCATATGGGGTGCCTGAATCTGTCCCGTTACAGTGTCCTGTAATAACCTGTATAGCAGAACTTACATTGAGAATTCTTACATGAAGGGACAGCATAGGGATGACTTTTCAATGTGCTGCTCCTTATATGATTAGCAGTCTGGTGGCCAGCCTATAGTGCTTAAAATAGATAAAAAACTGCTACACGCATCCTGGAAAAGAATGTAAGTGATACTTATCAGTTCGGTGGGCTGTGACTCCGGGTGTGTCTAAAGTGATTTACCTACCAAGCAGGTAGAACCACTGCACATGGTGTGGTATGTGGGTACCAGTAGTGTCTAAAGCTCTGAAATAGGACAAAGACTGAGGCAACTCCCAGACTGGTATTAAGGCCTGTGTTAAAGGCTTTTTGTTTGCTTTAAGAAGGTTTTGCATTCGCATGTAACTCTATTGGCTTGCCAAACCCACTTGAAGCAGGTCAAATACATGTCAATTAGTTAATTGATTTGAATGATCTCAGGAGTGTCTTAAAATTATGCCATCCAATGAAGCCGAAAACCTGTTAACAGAGGCCCTTACTGATATGGTTTTAAAATAACTTTTTCATGGGTACAGGGACTACCTCCTGAAAATGCTAGATGCCTGGCTGCAACTGACTTTAGTATGTTTCAGTCACAGTCCCAGAGCAAGCATGCTGTAAATGAGTGCCAGAACTATTCATCTCTAAATGTGTTCTAGGTCAGGAACGCAAATTTGAGGTAAAAGACATTTCTGGTCCAGACAGTGAAAAAAACTCAGACCCAGCAGACTGCACACTGTGGACAATCCTGGGGCCCAGCAGACTGGACACTGTGGACAATCCTGGGGCCCAGCAGAGCAGACTGGACACTGTGGACAATCCTGGGGCCCAGCAGACTGCACACTGTGGACAATCCTGGGGCCCAGCAGACTGCACACTGTGGACAATCCTGGGGCCCAGCAGACTGCACACTGTGGACAATCCTGGGGCCCAGCAGACTGCACACTGTGGACAATCCTGGGGCCCAGCAGACTGCACACTGTGGACAATCCTGGGGCCCAGCAGACTGCACACTGTGGACAATCCTGGGGCCCAGCAGACTGCACACTGTGGACAATCCTGGGGCCCAGCAGACTGCACACTGTGGACAATCCTGGGGCCCAGCAGACTGCACACTGTGAAAAAACATCAAGCCAAGCAGGCTCCACATTGTTGACAATCCTTGGACCCAGCAGACTGCACACTGTGGAGGAACCTTAGGCCGGACAGACTGCATCTTGTGAACAACCTGGGCAGCATAGTGGCTAAATGGTTAGCACTTCCGCCTGGCAGTACTAGGGTCGTTGATTCAAATCCCAACCACAGCACCACCTACCTGGAGTTTGCATATTCTCCCTGTGCCTGCGTGGGTTTCCTCCAGGTACTCCCAGTTTCCTCCCACACTCCAAAGATATGCTGGTAGGTTAATTGTATCCTGTCTAAACTGGCCCTAGTATGTATGAATGTGAGTTAGGGACTTTAGATTGAGGGTTAGGGACTGATGTGAATGTACAATATATATGTAAAAGTGCTGTGTAAATTGGCGACGCTATACAAGTACCTGTGATAAATAATATTAATAAATAACCTTCTAGCATAGCAGACTGCTTATGATGGATGATCCTCCAGCCCAATAGAATGAATGTTGTGAGCAATCCCCAAGCCCAGCAGACTGGACATTGTGGCCAATCTATGGGCCCTGCACACTGAACACTGTAGGCAATCCTCAAACCCAGCAAACTGCACACTGAAAATCCTTGCTGTCTCCTACTGCCTTATAGTAACTAGCTAAAGAGTAGAGAACCACAGGCAAGATACAAAACAAATAAACAATAAATGCATTTTGTATCTTGGTACAGAGTCTAGAAGAAAAGAAAATCAAAGTTTTGGGGCTGAAGCAGAACACAGTCTGTTTGTGACCCAAAGCCACTTCTGTGTAGTCATGAACGTGTCCAAGCACCACACTTCATTTATCATTGAACCATCATTCTAAACAAGCACTCATCTGTGCTTAACATTTAGCTCAGGTCCTTCTGCAACTTACTGACAAAAAGAAGCTGTTCTAATGAGACTATACAAGTATACTAGTGATTTTCCCCTCAACTGAATTCTTCAAATAGGATTTCCAACATAATCGAAAGACATCTATCTACTTGCAACTTCTTCATGCATTGACACAGTGGATTTACAACTTTCTACTTTACTACACAACAGCAGAATTCTTCCACTGTACAGACAGATGAATATTACTCAAGATCAATGGTTCTCAAAGGGCCAATACTCCCTAAAAATGTAATTTTTTTGTTGTTGGTGGAGTCTGTTAAACTATGTTGCACGCTCTCTTGGGTTCCTTTGGTGAAATCTACTTGTCATAGTTTCTGGCACTGGACTTCAGTTGGTGTTCCAGCTTCTTCCTGCAGCATTCTTCTTAATATAAACTAAATGAAATGTCAATAGATTACATGGGATCCAGTTTTAATGGCAGCTGCAAATCTGGAAACTCAGGCACAGTGATCTCAATATCAGAGTATCAAGAAATATAAGAAACGGTTAAGTGGATTAACACTACGGAATGTATCAAATCACTGAAATGTCTGCCTTGGGTGGGATGCTAACCCATACCAAGGAAGCTAAATACACCATAAATTTGTGTTCATTAGGTAGCAGTCCAGCCACAGAAAGGTAGTTCATACACCTTCACTTGTACTACATGCTCAGTCCAATCAATCAATATGTGCAGTATAAAGCAACGTTCATTAACCACTTCAATACCAGGCACTGTTAACCCCCTTCCTGTCTAGGCCAATTTTCAGGTTTTAGTGCTTTCCCATTTTGAATGACTATTGCGCAGTCATGCAACACTTTACCCAAACAAAATTTTTGTAATTTTGTTCATACAAACAGAGCTCTCTTTTGGTGGTATTTGATCACTACTGTTTTTTTTTTTTTCATAAACTAAAACGAGAAAAGACCGAGAATTTTGAAAAAACAAAAATTGTCTTTGTGTTATAACATTTTGCAAATATATAATTCTTCTTCATAAATTAAGGCCAAAATGTATTCTGCTACATTTATTTGGTGAAAATAACCCAAATCAGTGTTTATTATTTAGTCTGTAGGAAGGTTAGAGTGTGAGTATGTATATAGACCATGTGATCACTGTGACCAATCACAACTAGCAACACAACTGTATACAATAGATGGCATGAAAGGAAGCCATCCATTGTTTACAATTGTCACGTGACCTGCTGTGATTGGCCACAGCGGTCACATGGTACAGACAACAGGCCGGTACACAGATCAGTCATGTGATGGACACAGACATTGACAGATTTTGCTGCAGCCCCTTGGGCATCAAGTTGGAGATCTGGGAGGACATCTTACAATGTTCACCTGGATCGACAAAAGTCCTTCCCAGCTGTCATTTTCCTATAGTCCAGACAAGAACTGGTTAAATGTCTTTGGGAACCTCTACTAACGCAAGCAAGGCAAGAGAATTAACCACCACTCACCTTCAACTCAAACACAGGAGTGTCAATAGTCTCAGCACCATGGCGTTTGAAACAATTAATAATGGTGTTAAAAACCCTCTCTCGGATGGCCATCTGTTTGGGATTATAATCTCTTGTTCCCTGGTAGAAAGAATGAATGGCATAAAAAATAAACAGTAAATAACATAATAGTGCATAAAAAGCAACCAGTATTAGTACAGCCACCAAACAGAAATCATCAATCTGCCTTAGAGCCAATGTACGTGGGTAGAAGATTCAGTGTATCAAACAGGTCTCATGCACACTGGATGTTTGCCCAGATCCTCTGAAAGCTTTTTCTCCTGGCAGGAGAAATGCTGCTTAAAAAACCTGCCTAAAGCTCAATCTTGCAATTGCATTTAGACATGTCAAGAGTTTGGATGTTCATTCATTTCAATGGCCAGAGTAGATTACTATTCTGGCCAATGAAATGAACAAACATCCAATCTACTCTGGCCATTGAAATGAATGAACGATAAAGCGCTAAAACACATTTCGGGGTTCTTTTGCCCAAATGCTCCTCTCCTGAATGCACAAGTGATATTTTTTTGTCCAGTCTCTAAATGTTCCTCTTCTAATATGCCTGTAAATGCCTAAGCGTGCATGGCCACATAAAGTTAACATAGAGGTGCAGTTAGAGGCTCAAAAAATGCCAAAATGCCTGCAAAAACTGTTTTTTTTTTTTGCAGCCACTGTGCATGAGACCAACCAATTTGTTTTCAGGTGCTTCCGAGTTGCTTTTTGTTGCTAAGCGAGATGCTAGACCTCTTTTCCGATTCTTGTTTCGATACAGCGAAGACTCGGTCTTTACAAACAATCATAACATTATACTGGCATTAAAAAACTGCAAATGACAACTAATCAAAGGTGATCAATTCTCCTGAAATTTGTTTGTGTTTCAGACTGTTTGTGCTTGTGATTTTATTATTATACAAGATAGGCATACCAGATCTTGCACAAATATCACAGCAACTCCACAACCCTTCCACTTTTTGCAAATATTTAGATTGAATATTCCTGTTAATAAACATCTGATTGGAATGATTTTCTTTCCTGATGGAAATTTTTTTTAGGCCAATATTGGTCAATTTGTGATTTTTTTTTCCTATTTTGGATAAAATTAACAATTATAATATTGAATCTATGTCATGTCAGGTGAACACTCTGCTTGGCTATGAAGTCTTTAACCGCTTACTGTCTGGTTTTTTTTTTTTTTACATACACATTAAAATCAGCATTTTTGCTAGAAAATGACTTAGAACCCCCAGATATTACATGTTTTAAAAAGCAGAGGGTTTGGTGAAAAAAATAGTAGCTGTTGCAATTTTTGCAGTATTTATCCAATGCATATTTTTAGGAAAAAATACACTTAAACGAATTTCAGAACATAGAAAACACAATACAAATACCCAATTTTTTGATAAAATATGCTGTTGCATCAATGAAAGCATGGGGTGCTTTAAAATATTTTTTTTTGTATATATTTAAATTTTTTATACCCTATTTTGTTTTCATTTACCTTTATTGCTATATCTGGAAACCTAACAACCCCCTTGTGATAGTATTGAGCAGGTACTCTTTATGGAGACATCCCCTACCCTGGGCTAAAGCTGGAATGAATTTTATTCCAGTTACACTGGTCCAGCATTTAGGGGGTTAAAGAGGAGTTCCACTAACCCTGTCAAAAAATAAAAGTCAGCAGCTACAAAAACTGTAGCTGCTGACTTTTAAAAAACAGCCACTTACCTGTCCCTCTGTCCCCCGCAGCCCGTTTCACCGGCCGTCCTGTATTCCAGGAGGCCGGCATCTTCAGTGTGGGCAACCAGGTGTGATAGCTTGCGGCTTCACAGCCGGGTACCCACTGCACATGTGTGAGTAGCGCTGCACTTCATGAATGGTCCTGTAGTCTTCTGGGACCTGTCACGTGTCCCAAAAGACTACAGGGAAGGAGGGAGGGAGGACACTTTCCACTTCCGATCGCCTAGGCGATTGGACCGGAAGTGAGAGTGGGTACCTGTCAAATTCGGGTACCTATTCCCCCCCTGCCCCCAAAGGTGTCAATCCTTAACGGGGAGCGGGGGAACAGACCTTAAAGCAGAACTTCCCCTTTTTGGGTGGAGCTCCGCTTTAAATGCTTGTTACATCTTGGGGGTAGAGGAAAAAGACTTGATACTTAACTTATGCCTCACTCTCCTGGCTGCTGGCACTCCTCTCTCCAATGCTTCCGATGTGGGCAAGCACTCAGTGTTCTCAAGTACAATACAGGACATTTGGTTCTGCATTGTACTTTATGCACCCACCTTAGAAAAGAGGCTTCGAGAGTCCATTTGCACAGATGGAGGGAGCCTGCCAGAGCAGAATATGTATTACACCTTATTCCTCTACTCCTAGAACATTTAAAGTGTTACTAAACTGAGGGCCCTGCATTCACTATATCTGGTCTCCCACGGTACACAGAACATGAACATGCAATTATTTTAGTAAACATAAACTGCTAAATACCTTTTATCAGCAGTTAGAGCAGTCTTGTGACTTCTAGCAGTGTCCAGCAGAGCACTGGTCAAGGCTTGTAGGGGGAGTTTTTTCTAGGAGGATGCAAAACCCCTGACCTCTGTCTGGACAGTGCAGATTAGCCCAGTGCTGATCACATGCACTTTCCCAAAAAGAAAAAAAAAAAAAAAAAAAAACCTCTCTAGCAATACAAACCAAACTGACCATGTGCAGAGTGTCTACACACTGCATGTCTTATCAGGAGAGGGACACTGGAAGAAGGGGAGTATCAGAGAAGTCAGGATCAAACAGCCTTTTTACACCATGCAGAGGATTAACCCCTTAGGTTCCACAGTGAGTATAAAAACATGCTTTACTGCAAATAAAGACTGATATTACTGTTGTAGGATTAGTAACACTTCAACTTTTGCAGTGTGGCGGCCATGTGCTGGGGTATTTTTTTCCTGCCTGGGCATTGGCTTTGTGTTTTTTTTTTTTTTTTTGTGTGTAACCTTTATACTTTACCTTAGGAGTCTTGAGAACAAACTTATGTTTGCCATCATCTGTTCCCAACTTTGCCTTGAGTTCAAGCAATTTGGCCACTTCTTCTGCTATCTAATAACAAAGAAAACAAAACATCATAACAGTAACATAATATAAAAAACTAATATTATTACTACTTCCAATAAAAATGTAAAAGTGCTTTCTGATTTGCCTACATTAAATATTTAAGTTTAGGTTATATAAACGATAAAATTACCAGGCCATTTTTCAGTTTCTAGTATTGTGATAGTTTGGCTGAGAATTGCTCAGTCGTGAAACACTGTGCCTGGATAATTTTATACCATTTTTTGGGACAGAGCATTTTTTGGTGGTTTTAATAACCACTTTTTTAATATTCTCTTTTCATCGGTTTGTGGAGTTTCAGTGGTCACTAAATGGGTGAAGGATGAGGAGGGTGAGAGATTGTGTCTTGGGTTGTACATTCCCACACAGAAAGTAGTAGAAATGCTAAAAAAGAACCAAAAGTTAAAAAGGATGGGGGAAAAAGGTACAGATATGGGTGCCAGCAACAGGTGGGGAGAGGGGAAATGCGACTGGAGATAGGTCCTGCTTCAGAAACTGAGCCTGTGGCTACTCTCTAGAGGTCCAATAACATGAGGTCAAAGTCAGACAGAAGACAACGATTGATCCAGGGTCTCATGGTCCATTTAAATTTAGAAACAAGATCTTTAAGGATTGGTATTCAATAGTTTTTATTTAAAGTGATTGCAAAGGTTCATTTTTGTAAAAATAACAAACGTCATACTTACCTGCTCTGTACAGTGGTTTTACCCACAGCAGCCCCCATCCTCCTCTTCTCAGGTCCCCCGCCAGTGCTCATGGCTCCTCCACCCTGCTTAGTGCTCCTAGAGCATGTACTTTGCTGTGTGCTGGTTTTTTTTTTTTTTTTTTTGCTGACATGTTGGTGTTATATCTTTCACTTGGATGTTATAAGTTGCACTGAGTAAATACAGCTGGATAAAACAAAAACTGTGTCTGTCTTCATTTCAAGCTGTAATGCAATAAAATGTAATTATTTTATTGGGGGTGATTCTTTTCTATACCCACTGTATATTGCTATATATGTACTCAGCATGCAAATTTTTTGTACAAAATTACAATGCAGATATTAAAGAGGAACTCCACACAAACAGCTGAATACACTGTTCAAATAGATACTGTATTTACTGTTATACGCTCCAAAGGATTCATAATTTTGGTCAGCCATTATCAATTCATGCATTTGTAAAAGGACAATAACCGGTTTTTCCATGTTTAGCTTTACGGCTTTATATTTACAGTAAAGTTGTCACAATAGGCAAGTGAAAAGATGAAACAGAAAGCAAATTTTCTGAATCAAATAGGTGGGTCCCATGCCTGGTTGTGCAGTGTGGCAGAATTGATTGGTACACAAGAGTGGTAAAGTAAACCAGCAAGCACATGTGGCTCAGTGGTTACCACTAACAGCACTGGGGTCATGGTTTGAATCCCAATCAGGATGCTACCTGCATGTTCTCCTTGTGCTTGCATGGGTTTCCTCCTATATTGCAGATATGCTGGCAGGGTAATTGGGTCCTGTCTAAATTGTCCCTAGTATCTGTATGCATGCAAGATAGGGACATTAGATTGCAAGCTCTTTTAGAACAGGGACTGATGTGATTTTACAGTATGTAAAGCCCCGCCTAAACTGGCAGTACTGTATAAATGCCTGCAGTAACAACAACATATGTGTATTTCACTTGTGTATGAAGCAGTTTGCCTGGAGTTCCACTTTACATTTTTCACTGCTCCTATTAATATGTTCGCACAGCTGAACGTTTAAGGCTACTTTCACACTGGAGGAGTTTTTGAAGCGTTTTTGTGTTAAAAAAAAAAAAAAGCGCCTGAAAAGCTCAGGAAAAATACTTCCCTATGTATGTGAATGTATATCTATGAATGTTTTCACACTGAGGCGTTGCGCTTGCGGTGCAAAAACTCCTGTTTTCAGCATCTGAAATCAATAAAAAACGCCTGAGAAGCGTTTTTGGTGCAGTTTTTAAGTCACGTGTCCTATAAAAAAACTGCTCAAAAAGCACGGTAAAAACGCCTATGCGTTTTTGCAGCGGATCAGTGTGAAAGTAGCCTATATAATGACTAGAATGAATCTACCATACAACTCTGCATAAGTCTAAAGTTTCGTGTAGAATACACCTCATTCACTCAATTCTCTGTATGAAGTTTGCAGCAGAACACACCCTGCATATATGACACGGGAGAGAAGTATACAGCTCCTCGAACACCTCCATAAACCTGTCCTGAAAAGCTAATTACTACCTCTCCACGGTGTGAGCATCACAGCAAAGCTCTGAACAATAATAGACTGTGTCCAGTGACATGACGAAACCTACAGCCCTTATTACACCACACAATCCCTGGCTGCAATCATACATGAGTGTGCACAGGTGATTTTGGTGCTTTTTTTTTTTTTGTTTTAGGCATATGCAGGCTATGCAGGGGAGCTCAGCTTCACCGTTCCCTTCATCCCGGTCACAGGACCTGTACCCACCGGGCCATTGGATGCTTGGACAACGTTGGACCTACTGGTGAGTCTGAGAGGACTCTATGATAGGAGACCCAAGAGGACCCCACTGCTGACACAGAAACATTAAAAAAGCCAGATTGGAGTTTGCCAAAATCCTTTTGGGAGAATGTACTGTGGACAGACAAAACAAAATTACAGCTTTTTGGTAAAATCCATCATTTTGCTGTTTTCAGAAAAAGAAATGAGGCCTTTAACCGCCTCCCACCCACCATATAGTACAATGACGGGTGCAAAGTGGTTCTCTTGTTCTGGGAGGATGTCATCCTACCATTCTAAGCGCGCAGTGCGACAATCGGTGGTGCGCTGTGTCCCTCGGACACAGCGGATCACCGATCAACGGAAAGAGCCGAAGATGTCGGCTCGGTCATGTGATCAGCTGTGTCCAATCACAGCTGATCGCATGTAAATAGGGAAATGCCGGTTATCTGCATTTCTCTCCTCACGAGCTGTCACGATGACAGCTCGAGAGGAGAGCCGGTAATCGGCATTCCTTAGAGGGGACATGTGAACTGATCATCAGGGCACTGATGATCAGTGTGCCCTGATGATCTGTGTAGCCCCAGCAGTGCCACCTGTCAGTGTCCAACAGTGCCAGCTGTCAGTGCTCATCCATGCCACCTGCCAGTGCCCATCAGTGCCTACCAGTGCACATCAATGCCACATATCAGTGCCCATCTGAGCTGCCTTTCAGTATCACCCATCAGTGCCAGTCAGTGCCACCTATCAGTGCTGCCAATCAGTGCCAGTCAGTGCCGCATATCAGTGCTGTATATTAGTGCCGCCTAACAGTGCCAGTCAGTGCCACCTATCAGTGCCAGTCAGTGCCACCTATCAGTGCAGCCTCATTAGCGCACATCAGTGAAGGAGAAAAATCACTTATTTACAAAATTTTGTAACAAAAACGAAGAAAAAAAAAAAACGTTTTTTTTTTTTTTTTTCTAAATTTTGGTTTAAGAAAAAATAAACCCAGAGGTGATTAAATGCCACCAAAATAAAGCTCTATCTGTCACAAAAAATTATAAAAATTTCATATGGGTACAATGTTGCATGACCACGCAAATGTCATTCAAAGTGTGACAGCACTGAAAGCTGGAAATTGGCCTGGACAGGAAGGGGGTATAAGTGCCCTGTAGGCTAGTGGTTAAAGAAAAGAGTACAGTCCCAACAGTCACACATGGTGGAGGTTCACTGATGTTCTAGGGTTGCTTTGCTGCTTCAGGCACTGGATGTCTTGATGGTGTGCATAGCATTATGAAATCTGAAGACTACCAAAGAATTCTGGGGTACAATGTAGGGCCCAGTGTTAGAAAGTTGGGTCTCTGTCAGAGGTCATGGGTCTTACATCAGCACAATGACCCAAAGCACACGTCAAAAAGCATCCAGAAATGGTTTCAGACAAAGCACTGGAGAGTACTGAACTGGCCAGCAATCCCATAGAGTACCCGTGGAAGGATCTGAAAACAGCAGTTGGGAAATGGAACCCTTCCAATCTGAGAGACGTGGAGCAGTTGGTGAAAGAAGAGTGTCCAAAATTCCAGTAGAAAGGCGTAAGAAACTCATCAATGGTTACAGGAAGCTATCGATTTCCGTTATTTTTCCAAGGGGTGTGCTACCAAATATTAAATTGAAGGTTTCAAATTTTGTTCAGTATATTATTAGGGTTTTGGGTGGAATGTGTTAGATTTGGCTTTTTGTTTCTCCACTTTTTGTGTAATTTCAATATAAATAAAAGAAATAAACATGAGATTGCCTAAACATTTGTAATTGCAACAATTTTCTGGGTGCAGTGGTGCATTATCTGACAGAAATGCGGCGGGGGGGGGACAAGATTTTTGGCCATGACTGTATATGAGAGGCAACTGGACTCCCCAATGCTGATGATCAGAGGGTGTTTGAGCAGTACTGCAGGCAGTGACAGCCACATGGGAATGGTGATGATGATGGCTGTGCCATTATAACCAATACTGCCAGAGGCTGGCTGTTCTCTGTGAACATATAACATGTTGGCATTTTATAAATGACATTTCTTCTCGCTGTACACCACTATCCGGACAAGGCCCTTCAGACCCCGTAGAGTTGTACGCCTGCCTGCGGCTTTAAACTCAACCCTCCCCAGCTTGTTCACCTGCTTCACACCCCGGCGTTGGCTACGGCCTGCCAACTAAACCTCTGCCCGTCTCCTACCTCCTCCGAGCTGGCTTTCTCCTGTTTCAGCTTCTTGACTTTCTCTCCTTGCTGCACTACAGCTTGCTCCAGCTCTGCTCTATCCGCCATGGTGACAAGTGAAGCCGGCATGGATGAGCGCGCATGCGCCGCATAGTCACACTGTAGGGAAAGCGTGACGCTGAAGGGAGGGCTGGTCCAGCTCTGGCAGCGTACAAGTACGACTCATACTCCCTCTGGTGGACACTGTTTAAAATTGCGAGCTGGTAGGTTATACCATGCAGCTACAGAAGGGTGCGTATAGGCAACTTATACTGGGTCAAAAATACTGGTCTCAGTATTGAATGGATGGAATTGACCCTAGATTGTTGACGTTATTATTATTATTATTATTATTATTATTATTATTATTATTATTATTAATAATAATAATAATAATAATAATAATAATAATAATTTATTCTTATTATGACCTTTTTTTTTATTTTATTATTAGCAACGTTTTTGCATTGTACAGTTGTACTAAAACGTTTGCACACCCTGGCAGAAATCATGACATTTTGGCATTGATATTGAAAATATGACTGATCATGCCTATAAACTGTCTTTTTTTTAAAGGATAGTGATCATATGAAGCCGTTTATTATCACATAGTTGTTTGGCAACTTTTTAAATAATAATAACAGAAATCACCCAAATGGCCCTGATCAAAAGTTTACATACCCTGGAATATTTGGCCTTGGTACAGACATACAAGGTGACACACACACAGAGGTTAAAATGGCAATTAAAGGTTAATTTCCTACATCAATGGTTTTTTAAATTGCAATTAGTGTCTGTGAATAAATAGTCAATGAGTTTGTTAGCTCTCACATGGATGCACTGATCAGGCTAGATACTGAGCCATGGGGAGCAGAAAAGACCTGCGTAACAAGGTATTGGAACATTATAAAGATGGAAAAGGATATAAACAGATATCCAAAGCCTTGAATGTGCCAGTCAGTACTGTACAATCACTTACTGAGAAGTGGAAAATTCAGGGATCTTTTGATACCAAGGCAAGTACAGGTAGACCAGGAAAGGTTGCAGCCACAACTGCGATAAGAATTGTTAGGGATATAAAGAAAAACCTACAGGTAATCTCAGGATAAATACAGGCTGCTATGAAAAAAGATGGTATGGTTGTTTCAAGGAGCACAGTATGACGATACTTGAATAAAAATGAGCTGCATTGTCAAGTTGCCAGAAAAAAGCTTTTACTGCGCCAATGCCATAAAAAAGCCCAATTACAATATACCCAATAACACCTTGACATGCCTCACTGGGATTTTTTTATGGCATTGACATAGTGAAGGCTTCTTTCTGGCAACTCGACCATGCAGCTAATTTTTGTTCAAGTATCGTGGTATTGTGCTCCTTGAAAAAAACCAAACCCAAAGCTAACACACCAGGTATTTCTTTTCAAAATGTAACAGTTATTTCTAGTCAAAGCAGAACTTTAGTCAAAAAACTAAAGTGATTCTAAAGGCTATTTTCTTTTTAAACAAACATGATTTACTTACAGTACCTGCTCTGTGTAATGGTTTTGCACAAAGCAGCCTTAATTCTCCCCTTCCTCCTATTTAGGGGGACTGAGCCACATGCAGAAGGTTTTTTTCACTAGTGACTAACCCCCTATCCTATTCTATGGAAGGTCCTGCTTAACCCCTTCATGCTGACCTTAAGAGTTCTAAAAGCTGGGAGTCAGAGGTGGACATTCGGGTCATGTGACTGTTTTGGCTGTCACAGTGGTTACATGATCGAAAAGCTCCTGATCTTAAGTATTAATCAGGAGTTTACCGATCACTGCTCGCTACCATGCTGGGCAGCGTGCTCTCAGCACAATAAGTTGTTTTAATATGGTCGCATATACTGTAAACAGCTACTCAACATTAAGACCAAATCGCTGAGTAGCCGCAAATGTGTGTACGGCCACTGTCAAGAGGTTAAGATGCATTGCAAGGGCAATAGTCCGACAGTCTGTGGCAAACCCTCTCCTACTGACTAGTGTGTTGTGGCTCCAGTGTAGGAGTACCAAACTTAAGTCCCTTCGAACCGAAGTCCAGGTGCCCAAAATGTGTCTCCAGTGAGCAATACTGTTCCTTTTACCACTTCCCATCTGGCCCATGTCTATAAACGGCCGGAAGGAAGCACTGCCGAAGCGGGTTGACGTTTCTAAACGTCACCCGCATTCACTGCCTGTGCACGCTCCCTAGGACACAGCGGAACACCGATCGCTGTACAGGACCTGTGTGATGTCCTGATTCATGTGATCACTGATTGGCCAATCAGTGATTACATGAGCAGTAGTAAACAAGATGTCACTTCCTGACATCATTGCTTACTACTTGTGAAATCTCTTCCTTACAAAAAAACACTCCACATTCCCAGCCGTCAGGATTTTCTGGACGGAAATATTCAAAATACTCTCCTTATTAAGTGCGAAAAACCTCCATCCTAACCCACTAACAGCGATACTTAACCTGCAACCACCTGAAGTCACGAAACTACAATTTAAGCTTCTATTACAGGTTACCACAGCTGCCAAACAGGTCATCGCCAAATCGTGGAAATCTACGTCGCTTAACATTACCACGGTTCTAAACAAAGTAACCCAGGTGATGATCCATGCTAAAGCAGAAGCCACAATCTTGAATACTATCCCTAAATTTAGGATGATTTGGGACCCATGGGGAGAACATTTTCTACCTTCTAACTTTGATGAATCTCTTCTCACACCATAACCAGCACTTCCATTTATTTTGGTACCCTCCCCTTTTACTCTTAAAGCTCCCCTCTTTTTCCTTTTCATCTTCACTTATGGAGTCGCACGCCTCTCCCCTGTCTTCTCCCACCCACACATTCCCCACCTAATATTGTTCACCAATTCTTACCTGTTACAGTTCTCAGGTTTACCGATAATACTGTATTCCCAAGAAAATTCACTGTATGAGTATTGTATATTGTATACTATATTTGTTCTATGTTACCCCTCCCTGTGAACAAAATAAAAAATCTGAACAAGAAAAACACTCCACATTTGTCAGATTGCGAGGGCATCTTCTGTGCACAGCCATCTTCAGATCACCCCACAGATTTTCAATTCAGGACTGTGCTCTGGCTGCCCACATGGAAGAAAACTATATTTGAAATATATTTTAAAAATATTCTTCCCAAATATATTGCCATATATTGAAAATGCTACAATTTTGGCCATATTTATTATATTTCGAAGCCAGAAGCCCAGTGCTTGTAATTAACGGACTTCATGGATGAAGGCGTATCTACTCTACACACAGCACTGGGTCTCAGTACAAGCCAAGGATGAATAATGTTGTATATTGATTCCAATTGGTTTTATTGATTGCAGGCTTCCAAAATTCAGGCTGTTGCTGTCTATATCAATCAAGCTAAACAATTTCCAGGACTCTATCTGGAGAACAGTTGCAGAGCAGTGCCAGATCCAGAGGAGGGAGTCTCTTCCTATGCTGCTGGCTTGGTCCACATTAAAAGGGGCTTCCGGCAGAACTTACAGTCATCATATGATTCAACATATTGCGGTTTTATTATGCGTATCTGGTGAGTGCGCATTTTTTATCATATCCCCTGCATGAATTTAATGGAATAAAGTCACACGAAATCCTTTGATATCACCTGTGCAACAGGATCTCTATGTGGCACAATTCTCTGACCGGTGTCAGACTTTCACCATTATATGAACATTTTTCTGTTTATTGACTTTCACAGTTGCCTGCAATTATTTGCACTTTCTATTTATCACTTGTGTATATTTAAACCACCATTATCATATTTTCTATTAATTTTATTAGTGCTGCACTTATTGTTTATATGGGGACAAGGTGCTTTGGAGGGAGCCCCCTGCCCCAAAGCACCCCCCCCCCTTGTTGAGGGCATGTGGCCTGGTATGGTTCAGGATGGGGGGTGCTCACTTGTCCCCCCCCCCTTTCCTGACCTGCCAGGCTGCATGCTCGGATAAGGGTCTGGTTTGGATTTTGGGGGGGTACCCCCATGCCATTTTTTTAAATTTTGGCGTGGAAGTTCCCCTTAAAATCCATACCAGACCCGAAGACCTTGGTATGGATGGGAGGAGGGACCCCACGCCATTTTGTAAATAATTTTTTTAATTGCCGGCAATTCTTTTACACTCAGCTGTCAGGTGCCAATTTTTAAATGTAATTACCGCTTTTTTTTTTCTTCACTATACAGTAGTTCAGAAATTCAGCTGTCACTTTCCCCCTCCAGCTAAAAGAGAGTTTATTTCCCCAAGTTAAAAGAAACAATGTTTCCTTTCAGTTTCTTAAACGATACAAAGTTTCCTGTAACTCCAGGGAAAGTGACAGCTAATGTTCTGAGCTATAGTGAAGAAAAAAAAAAAAGACGGTGATTGCATTTAAAAATCACGTACTTCGTATTGCGAAAAAAATTAGTAAAAAACTCGTAAACCGAGGCATTATTTTCAATGGATTTTCATTTGTTAACTGAGGCATTTGTAAACCGAGGTATTACTGTATAGTCACTTTTTTACTACCTTTTGTGTTTATGTTGCTTCCTGATACAATGAACAACAGCAGACTGGCTCACAAACCTACTTATTTTGTGACATATAATTATTCTTCCTGTTCCTTGCTTAAAGTATAACTAAAGTCAAAACTTTTTTTTTTTTTTAGTTTTGGATAGAGTGTAGGTTAATTAGAACCTCTATCAATTTGTATTGCTGTCTGTGCTTGCTTTAGGGAGATTCACCCTCTATTTGTCCTGTTTACCATTATCACTGAAAGTGAAAGAAAATCACATATTTTAGGTTGTCCCCAGAAAAGTAATAGAGGGGAAGTCTTCCAATGGGGAAACTAGTTCTGGTGGCCTAGGGGTCCCCAAGGAATTCCCTTAACTTGTAGGGATTTGCTCTCACTTCCTGTTGGCTATGGAACAGGAAGTGAAGGGAAATCTCTGCAGTGAGACACAGATGGCGAAAAAAAAAAAAATCTGACAGGGTTTATATCCCTCCCTTGCTCTATCCAAAATGAAAAAATAGTTTGCGTATAGTAGTACTA